AATGAGATGAAGGTCATTGAAACATTGTTTCAGAATAGGTCAGGTGTGCTAGTATGTTCCAAAGTTTCTGTCACAGTACCATACCTAAAAATGTTAGTTGTTGCTAAAATATTTCTTTTTGGTTGCTAGATAAATAGGTAAGCCATTTCCTAATCAGTGAAACAAAAAAGTGGGTGGGGGAAATTACAAACACAAGTCATTTTGGAGTATATCCAAATATATACACACTGAAGATCAGCTTTGGTAAGTTTATCCCTGGCCACTGCTTCAGATAACAGAGAAAGAGGTTCTTCATTACATCACAAGAAACACGACAATATGCTACAAAGGCTCAACTGACTAATACATTGGTTCAATATATAAGCAGTCAAAAAGAAGGTTCTTCAAGCTCTTCTTTCTAACGCAGATCCCACCAAATCCTTCTCCAAGAGGAGAACAACAAACCCAAAACAAACACTGAGAATAGCAAAAGATAAGCTACTCGTTTCTCCTACAATCAGCAAACAATTGCAAAAAAAAAAAAGGGAAGGAAAAAATATCCACATAGAAGAACTCAATAAGCTACTTTTATCACAGAATGCAATGAATTAGAAATTTCAACATGTGGAGGTTACAAAAATACAGAGAAATATTTTTATTGCTAAAAAAATGTAAGGGACTAACTTAAGACTATTATGCACAAAGGCTACCAGGAATACAATAATTTTCAAAACCATGAAAAGGATCTACTGAAGGCAACAGAAAAAGCAGTTAAAACAGAAGAACAAAGATGCAGGACYTCACATTTCGTTCTGATACATTAAAATGCTACCAGTGAACAAATTATTTTCTATATTCCAAGTGTATTATAATGCTACTGTATCTATTATTCTTAAATTAAATAATTTAGACTGAATGATGGACAACAAAACTCAACTGCCGTACAACCAGCTACTCTTTTAAGTCTCTCATATCTGAACCTCATTCAGAGAATTCCCTTACTGATGCAGCACTGGTTTCATGTTCATCCTYTTCCACTGTTAGCCTCCATTAATATGTATTAAAAAGGAAGTCCCTATATATGTTCAGCTATTCATCATCATTCTCTATTAMATTTCTTAAAAAAGAAAATGCACATACACTTTTCCACTAAAGATGCTGACACTAACAAGGAGTGAACTGAGCAGGGTTTATATTTGTTATTCTTCTTCCACCTACTGCCCCCTTTTAACATTGGTGACACACAAACATTTTAAACCATATACTCCATGCTCTTGTATGACTGCAATGGTCTCACACCAAACATCAGTTTTCTTTAAAATAATCTCTTCCATACCACCTACATCTTCTAAGTATAGCATATGGATTGAAGAGCTGTGCACATTAAAAATTAGAATCTTACATTGTTTGGTAGATTCCAGCATTTTGCTGTTTACCAAATGCAAAAAAACTCAACAAACCAACAAGAAAACAAACCAACAATAAAAACCCCACCATGAACCAAAAGCATCACCCTCTGTTACTTGTCAGACAGAAAAAGAATTGGATCTCCCAGAGGACATGCAAAGAACTGCCCAGAAAGAAAGTGCTGGCAGACTCTTTTCATACCACCATTAAACACACTGAATACAAGGAATGGTGGACACCATTGATATTTTTTTCATCATACAGGCAGCTTTCTGTGGACTTCTAAGATCCCTGAAGAATTGTAACTATAAGGAGAAGTATCATAGGCACACAGAATACAGAGACAAATCTTCCCAGATTCTGATAACTCCACTAAAATGAAAGAAAGTATTCACTTGAGTAATAACTTCTTGACTGAGCRTAAGTTTTTCATGGCTTGCTTTAAAATTGTCAGCTACAGTGTTTAAACAAATATCAAGCCATTTTCATCTGGTCCACTCAAAAAGTCAGTGATTACTTTCATGAGCCCATAAACCATTGCATGTCTATCTACCATTACAAAAGAAATACAACTTGMAAACCGCCCTGCTGTTATTCACAGTCAATCTCTAACTGCTACCAAATGGTRAAACTGATAAATTACCTGATTAAATTACTGAACATAATCAGAGGTGCCCTGCTGCCACTACAGTCATCAGTGCTTATGTGAAAAATTGAGCAAAATTAGGCTTTAGATATGCAGTTTAGTCTTCAAGAWCTGCCCCAGACATGTCTAGTCCTAATGAAGTTAATGAAAACTACTCAGGTAGAGAGGACAATACTAGCAGGTTTCACTCCAGGAGTGGAGCTTTAAGCTGTAAATAGCATGCTTTGCTAAGGAATAATACACCACAAACTTACAATACTCAGTGTATGGTGGGCCACTGTTCAATTTATTAGTGGAAGGCAAATGATAAAGTACTGTGTTAATTATTTAAGAAGTGCTGTTGAAATGGTTAGCTGGTAAAAACTGCCGTAGTCCTGGAAACAAGTCAACTCAATGTCAGCAAACAGGAGACTGGGTCAAATTATATCTACCTAGAAATACAAAGCCTATCAAAAATCAGATGATTTACTATGAATTTATGTATGGGAGATCATTCTCAAAAGTGGGACAGGAAGACAAATTAACACATTTTTAAGAAACAGCAATTATAATMTTATGATTATGAACAGGTTAGTTCATGCATCTGACATAAACAGTTTCAAACATAATTATTATAATACTTATGTAAATCATAGCCGATACACTAAGTATAATGGAGTCTTCGTAAAATGACACTCCATCACACTGATGCCAGCTCCTACCGAATGAGAAATCAGTTTTTTTGCAAATGCAAATTATACAGTGGGTGGGTAAGAGAAATGCAAACTGCAAAATCCTACACTAAATAAAAACATATATAAACATGGTGACAGCCTGGTAAGTGCTCCTCTTCAAACTGCAATCCCATCCTTTTTCCTGAACAAGCTCCTTTGAAATATGGGGGATGGTGACAAAAGCAGACCAAAAATGAGTTTTCAAGCAATCTTTTCATAAAGTAATATTTATTAGCTGGAATTAATAACTGGAATGTCTATAACACACTTCAAATTTTCAGAGAGAAACTGCAGCTAATGATGCAGAAATTAGAAGAAAAATGGTTCCATGACAGGCCAGAAAATATCTATTTATTTAGTTAAATTCTACCGACATTAGTAACATCTTTATTCAAATGTTTTTGTAATGACTCAGTATTTAAACATCACTATGTATAACAAGCTTCTTCCTGATTTGAATAAACAGAGCAGTAGCAGGCCCAGCTATCCCCAGCCAATGGTATTCTCATTACACTGCAACAACAAAAGGAAATAGTTTTCACAGAAGCAAAATTGTACTTTGCCTAACTTAAAATCTGTGTATTTTGTAGAAAATCTCAAGCATTACAAGCCTAGTGGCAGCACCGGGATTCCCAAGCAGGCAGGCCCTAGGAAGAGCACGGAGGTGGCAGCTCAGCCCAGGATGAGAGGGAAAGAGGAGTGTGCTTCATGTCATAGTCAAGAGACTCCTCCAGGCAACTTAAAAAGCAGCACTGAGAGATCTGCACCTAATCCTCCACAGCCCAGGCGAGGATTTCTGTGATATAATGCTAGACRGCCACGGGCAGGAGACAAGGGGGTTCAAAAGGCTCTAACGGTCAGAGAGAGAGAGACACTAAAAAGAAATATGTGAAAACTGATAGTGAGGAGCTTATTTCCTCTGAGTTTAAAGCCTTTCATCACTGTTTTCATCGAGGGGAGGCAAAATTTATTTATAGTATTGAGAAAGGCAGGGGGGAGAACATAAAAGACCTGTAAGCTTATAACTGCTGTTTGATCATCCTCTGTTTCTCACTACTTCTGCTTTTTTGGTCAAAATTCACTCATTGTGACTGCTGTACAAAAGCTGTGGAGGAAACACTGAAAGTAAGCAACCAAAAAGATACCATTATTTCAACAGCCCACTTGCCATACATATCTGAAATAACTGTACATCAATGACTTAAACAAGGGCTACTCTGTTTTATTGCTATCACTACAGAGGCAGGTCTCACTCGCAGAACACAACTTCGTCCTGAAATTTTAAGAAAACAAAAAAAAAAAAAAAAAAAANAAAAAAAAAAAAAAAAAAAAAGCATAGACAAGTCCTCTGCTTTTTGGGAGAAAAAAGTACCTTCTTTATATGTGAACAGCCATGTGGAGATAAGTGAAAATATCCTGCTGCAAGAATAAAGAATTAACATGTCAAACTACAGCTATGATTTTGTGGGTCTTTTTGTCCAATTAAGTGATTTATGAAAATATATCCTGATTTATAGAAATACATACAAATGGAGACAGTCGTGCTGAATGGAAGATTACCTAGCAGACCTGATTCACCCTACCTCTTCATGCTCTGCTACACCTTCCTATTTTAAACGTACTGAACTGAGTATCCAACACAAGCTGAAGTACAGTCCGCCATAAGAAGTACTAGGAGTGCCCTTGAAAAATGTCCAGATTGCAGCTAGTGCACAAAGGACTTCGCCATGAAAATAAAGCGCATGAAAATTTCTCTCCAGCTCTCGAGCCGGCAGCAAGTGAAGAGATTAACTTTCCCACCAACATTGGCAAGACACAAGCCAAGTTTAAGGGGTTTAGAAAGAAAGAAAGGGGAAAAAAAAAAAAAAAAAGAGTCGACCAATTCATCCCGAATGCTTTGCTTCGTATTTATCCCCAAAAATGCTCGATGGAGCTGAAGAGCAGTGCTACATGACCCAAGCGTGAGCACGCAGGTATTGACTGCCATAGGTGAGGAAGTCTGGCATCCACCTTCCCTTGCTACAAGGGAGGCGACGCTGCAGATCTCCCACTCCATTACCAAAAAGCGAAGCAGAACCAGCATCTCGGGCTGGAGGGGGAAGGTAATTAACTGGGAACTTCATGTTCCTTAAATATACAACCGAGACCTTTTTTTCCTTCCCACGCCCCTCTTCTTTCCATGTTCTCTGTCAAAACCAGGGTGAAATAAACGTTATTCTATAACAGAACTATCAAATAAACAGTACGAGACTCACCATATCAGCTGGAACGCTGCTGGACATTTTGATGTTACCCTAAATGGCTTAGAATCAACTTTAAAAACAAAAAACCAACAAAAACAAAAAAAAACAGCAGCACCAAGAACAGCCTGCCGGAGATCTTCAAGAAGCAAAACCGGTGTCAGTATCGGAGGCAGCAGCTTCCACGTTCCCTACGAGAAAGAGGTGCCCGATAAGCAGCGGTGAAGGCGGCCGGCTAAGGAGCAAAAATATCCAGGGACAGCGGTGCCGGGCTGGACCGGAGAAGCCAACTGGAGACCAGAGATGGCAGCAGATCCCTGTCAGCGGCAGCAGTAACAGCACCAGCGGCGCCAGGTAGACCAGGCAGCAGGACTACACCGCCACATGAGCTGCGTGTGGGCTTTTTCCCCCCTTCTCTCCCTCTGCCTTCTCTCCCAGCCTCGACAAATGACGACGGGATGATTCACACGGGATAATAGTGCGTCCAAGTCACCTCCTCAGTCGGCGCAGGCGACCCGGGTGCACAGGCAAGACCTGGCTCCTGCCCTGGGCGGCAGAGCAGGGAGGCGGGAGGGCCGGGGTGGGCCCGGGGCCGCTGGGGAGGACGCCGGGCTGCAGCCCCCCCTAGGCGGTGCGCGGCTTCCGACAGCGCCCGGCGGGGACGCAAGCCGGGRAGGGAGGGAGGGAGGGCGGCCGGAGGCGAGAGCCCTCCCCCGGGCGCTCGGCGGGGGCCGGGGGGCGTTCGACGGCGGCCGCCTCCCGCAGCCTCAGCTCTCCGCTCGCATCGCCGCCGCCGTCTCCGCTGCCCGCCCTCCCTCCCCCGCTTCGTCCGCCGGCGGCTCTGGCCACCCTCCGAGAGCCGCGCTGCGTGCCGGAGGTGCCGCTCCTTCAGCGCGATCCTCGCCCGCAGCCGCCCCCTGTCATCTTCGGCTCAAGCCAACATGGCGCCCGCCGAGCCGAGCGAGGGGACGCGGCAGGGGAGACACGGACCCTCCGCCACCGCCTCCGCCGCCCCCGCTCCCGCCGCGTCACACGCCGCCGCCCCGCGCGGCACCATGGGGTTTGTAGGCGGCCGGGGCCGACCGCCGCCGGGGCGGGGCCGCCCGCCCTGCGCGGGTCCCCGGGTCCGCCCCGTCCCGCCCCGCTGCGGGAGCCCCCCGGCCCCGCCGCCCTCCCACAGCGCTCTCGCAGCGTCGGCCGGGGAGGCACCGCGGGGGCTCCTTGTGCACCGGCGGCGCCGCTTCTCCCCCGGGCAGCAGAGACGCCCAGAGCGCCACGTGAATTCTCGCTTTCCCCCTTGCGGGCGCTGCGGCTCCTTCAGGGGTGTTCAGGCGCTCCCCTCGCAGCACCTGCCTCTCAGAGCGGGTGCAGTTCCCGGCACGTGGGCCCGTCCTGTCCTCTTGGACGGCTTCTAAATAAAAAAAAAAAAAAATAAAAATAAAAAAACCCAACCCGGAATTACCATGGAATGTTAGGGGTTTGGAATGGACCTTAACGGTCACCTAGTCCTAACACACCCTGCCATTGCCAGCGGCATCTCCCGCTGGACCTGGTTGCTCAAGGCCTTTTCCAACCTGACCTTGAATACTGCCAGGATTGAAGCATCCACAACCTCTGTGAGCAACTTTTTCCAGTGCTTCAGTGCCCTCTGTGTAAAGAATTTCTTCCTAACATCTATGTTTTCCCTCCTTATGTTTGTACCCATTACTCCTTGCCCTATTTCCCCTTGTCCTATCATTACAGTTCCTGACAAGAGTCCCTCTACAGATTCCTTGCAGACATGCTACATTTTCATGTTACGGTTTTAATCTTTTTGCGCCCCAGATCTKCAGTCTGGCCCTGTACATCACTTTTTTGTATTTCTCTTTCACACATTATTCTTTAGGTTTTTCTTGAGTGGTTTTGTTTTGGTTTTTTTAATTGTTTGTTTCTTTGTTTCCCACACCATGTAATAATAATTTAAAAAGCCCCTCTAAGATTCTCWGTGCAAACAATGACTGCCACCTTGGAAGCATCTGGAAAAAGGSGACTCCTTCATCATGTCAAATGCCCCTTAAAAAGCCACCTTGCTTCCTGAAGAGGTCTGCATTTTGTTATGGATCCAAGTTATCAGTGTGCAATAGGTGTTTTAGTTCTTATTGCAGGCTGCTCCTGTGTCAGAGCAACCATTTGTCAGGGCGACGGGAGRGACACACAAACGACCTCGTGGATCTGGTAGAACGCTCTCTCATTTATTGTGTGCACAACAATGCCTGATATAGCTACACTTCCTAAGGGTAATAACAGTAACTTAMCGCTTATGGCAACTCTGCTGTTACAGGTCTCACGTGMKGACTCGCTTTTACCATTAGATACATTAACAGGTCTCGTGGTCWCGAGGGTACACGGACAGKGCCCTACTGTAACTGTTACAGCACCTGCCGCTCATGGCTAATGATGGCCAATGGCTCAGACARTTCCAGAATGTTCACGGGCCTTCTCTCCCTTAACCAGGCCTTAGACAGGCCCTCCACGCTCCTGGAGACCAGCATTCAACAAAGAAGAGCAGTGCCTGGTGGAAAGTACATTGCACCTCAAACACACCAAAAAAAATCCACACAAGGTGCATGTCTACTGAAGAAAYGAGTGGGCCTTTTGAGAGGGGGGTGGGTAGGCACATGCACATACCAATACCATTAAACTGTCCAAGAAAAAAAATCAAGAAAATCAAGCAGATGGTGACAGATGGTTCCTTTGTGGACAAATCTCATGTAAAACCACAGGAAATTAAGACAGAGTTGTTCCCTTTAATGCAAAAAAACTGAGCCTGTCTTTTCTCTTTAGGATTTCATGTGCAAGCACTCCCTGGCCAAATGCCGTTCCTTGCAGAGGTTACTATTCTTTACTTTGTACTCTGCCCTAAAATAGTACAAAACTACTGACTTCAGAAGACACATCTGACAGCAAGCAGCCCTGTTTGATGCCTGGGAAAAGAGTTGGGAGACAGCAGAAGTGGCCCTACATGTGTGACCTGTGTGAGGATTCTGTACTGTCACACATTCTGTGACTTTAGTCATGTCACTCCCTCTCTTGTCAGACTAATTTGCTTAGATGGTACATTTTTGGGAGTCAATAATATCTCAGTCAAGCTCTCTAGACACCAACAGGATAAAAGGTCTTGTGTTTGTGGAAATAATAGCAAATTGTTGAAGTGCTACTTACCCTTTCTCCAACTGACTATCCTTGAGGGACAGAGAAAGTACAAGAGRAGAATTAAAGAGATGGGACTTGAAAGATGTCATTCCATTCCAAATTATGCATTCATGGGCACTGTCAGAGTTGACCATTTGTCAAGYGGAGGGAGAAATGCACAACGACCACCAGAGATGATCAGCATAACTCGTTTATTCCCTCAGCAACCATGGCTTTTATGCCCATGTTTGCTAACGGTAATCAACCTAATACGTATTACAAAAACTGAGTTCCTTATAGGCTACTTTAGAAACGATGCCTTGCCGTTAGCCTCTCAAGCTAGCCCCATTATGTCTTAAGTTCACTTAACGAGTCTGTCTAGGGGACAAAAGACCTCTTGTAACTTTCGGCYCCAGGTACTGCTCGCAGCCGACGCTTTTAGCTATGCATCGTGTAGCCAGCTTTTAGCAAGGCTCACCACAGGGCACCTGTGACTTTGTGGTTAAATCAGTGACAGACTAAGGAATTACAGCAGATCTTGCTGAGCTGAGTTTATTTAATCTTACAAATAGGGCTTTTCCCTGACAAAAAAAAAAAAAAAAAAAAAAACAAAAAAAAAAAAACCCACCCTGAAACTTACATAAAACTAAATCTAGTTAATGCAGCTTAAATTTAAACAGGCTCTTAAGATCTGCACTGAGGCCATCCTGCAAACCAACCCCATCACTCGTCAGACAGCAGCCTTTTACACGCCTTGAGGTGACCAAAGTAATTTAGGAGTGGCCTGACCCTACCTTTCCCCTAGCACTCCCAGAGCAGGAGCAAGAGAGCAGGCACCACAACTTCTTTACAGGCACTGAAGATCACAGCTGTCTCTTGATGTAAACTGAAACTGGTGGCAGTGCGATTTTGTCCTTGGCCACTCAGTCACTCCTTGATGACTGCTGAGGTGCATAACCCTTCCCACCTCTTCTGCTACAAGCAGGCCAGGCAGTCAACCGGACTTTGTAACCCTTCACAGTTTACAGGGTGGATTGCCAAAGATTGTGTGGAAATACCCTTCCACTGAACATCAAGAAGTCCATATGCTSAAGCAAGTCAGGCAAGTAAGGACAGCAACAAGCACAGACAAAGTGGGTGAGGGGTCAGCAAGGCAAGCAAGCAGCAACAGGGCACATCTGCTGCACTGGATATGATTTTTTTTTTTCATTATTCAAATGAAGAAGCTCTTCTGTGGTACATAATGATATTTACATCCATAGGACATAACCATAGGAAAGAAACCAGAATGATTCTATGGCTTTTGCTTTTTTGCCTCTGTCTTAGCAGTCCATTAAGAGGAAGAATCATGTGTTGGTGAGGCAGTGGGGTACAGGAGGAGTCATCCTCACTACTTTGAGTCCTTGCTGCTTTGTGTACACAGTCAACTTGGTCAGCCTTTCTGCCAAGTGTTGTATAAATGRGGATTGACTCCTCTCTTTGACACACACTTGTACTGACCAAGAGATGTCAATTACCTTTTGAATGATTATTATGATTACCATCTATTTGAATCYACAATTATGACTGCTGGCCAGAATGCCCTGGTGTTCGGCACAGCATGGTATAAAGTACATAGCCTGTCCTGTCCTGRAAGGTTCATAGTGCTGGGTTTACTCAACAGCTTAGATTTATATCACATTCAAATGATTTTTTTTTTTTCCCTAGCTCTCATCTGTGACGAACAAACACAAATGAATGGAGGATCCATTGTGGAGACACAACTGGTACATGCTGGAGATCATTTCAGAATKATTATGTACTGGGCAAATGAATAAAAAGAAATGCTGAACGATCATCCAGTAAAAGTTGTACTAGATATGATGACAGGGAAAAACCTACCGGTTTTGTAGACGTGCGGTCATGTGTTTGAAATGCAGGGTGGTGTCTTAGTTTGAAAGACARGTGTTTGCCARTGAAGGCAGGGACCCCCCTTGGAATGRTGGATATGACTCCCCTTCCCTCCAAATTATTATAGCTTTGAAAATCACGGGCTTTCAGGCAAGAATATGGGTAAAAGGGAATAACAGTTTTTACTAATATGTATAACAAGGTGAAACAAGTAACAATAACAATAGCAACACCAGCCCAGTCCCAAACCCAGTGACAGCCTTACAGAGACACACCCTCCCCTTTGGTGCAGTTACAGTTCCAGTCGGCAGGGGCGCTGTTGGCTCCCGGCCGGGCAGGGCGGGTGCGATGATTCCCCGGTGGCTGCAGGGGGCGCTGTGGCGCGGGTCCCGGCTGGTTCAGATCTCTCGCGTTGCCAATGATGGACACAGAACGGCAGGGAAGGATGGAGAAAAGTTCCTCTGCAAACTCACAGCAGAAACGCTGACCGCAGTGCTCCTCTGGACAGCAAGAAACCCCAGGACGGCAAAGAGACGAGCAGAATCCCCCGGCTGCAAGACGGGATGGAACAGGACTCAACCCCTGAAGGTGGAATCTC